AATCCACCAGGCTGCGCTTTGGGGGATAAATCCTCAGTTCTGCTCCCATTTAACAGCAGGAGGCTCAGAGGAAATGGCTGAGGCATCAAATCACCCTTTGAGTTCTGCTCAGAAGGTTTGTCCTCAAAAATGGGGGAGAAAGCAGCAGCTCCTGGCTGTTCCGCTCTCTGAATTCCAGGGAAAAGCCACCAGAGCTGGGTCCCTCAATCCCTAAAGGAATTTTTCATCCTCTCTCGTTCCAGATTTTGAGGCATTTTATGTGGAAGTTGTTCATCCTACACAAAGTTCTGGAGAAAAGTGGGGAGAAGCAACCGATCTGGAAAAGTGCCCAAAAATCTGCGCCCCCGTTCTGTCCAGAATGCCAGGTCATCCCCAAAGGCCTGGAGGAGGCTGACCACAGCACAAACCCCGGCCACAAACTGAATAAATTTTAAATAACTCCTCCCACAGGCACCATTCAATCAGATTTCACTAAGCTGGGAAAAGCTCAAACCACAATCACCCAGTACTACCCAAACTGAATTTCACTCCTCCAACTAAATCAGGGAAAACTCAAGCTACAGCACCCAGCACTGCTCAAACTGAATGAATTTCACACCTCCAACAGGCACCATTAAATCAGATTTTTCTAACCCGGGAAGAGCTCAACTCACAGCACCCAGCACTGCTCAAACTCAATTTCACTCCTCCAACTAAATCAGATTTCTCCAACCTGGGCAAAGCTCAAGCCACAGCACCCAGCTCTGCTCATTCCTATGGGGAACAAGAAAATTCTGGGAGTCCTCAGGAGCTGAGAAATGACATTTTGTGTCCCCTTTGTGGCCACCAGCACTGTGCCTAAATCACATTTTGTGGCTTTTCTGCACGTGGGAACAGAATTGTTCAAACAGCAGGTTTGACACTAATTGCAGCCCATCCACTGCACCCGCCTAAAATAATTAAGCAGTGGGATTGCAGCTTATTTTGAGATCAGAAATGACTGGGAAAAGAGTGGGAAAATTAATGGCTTGGTCCTGAAGAGGGTGCTCAAAGATCCCTCCCAGAGTTGTGTTATTTACCTCAGGTTTGCAGGCTGTTTTCATTAAAAATAAAAATACTCTGGGTGAAAGGAGGCTGCTTTCCGTAATGCGGTGTAATGCTGCTGCCAAATTGTCCAAATCCAAATTTAGACACATAAACTTGGAGCCTGCTCAGCTCTTAAGGGGAGGCTGTGTGAAAAGTGTGTTTGCTCAGGATTAACCCAAAAGGACTCTGGAAACTGTAATTTTAGCTAAAAAACCTCAGGGTGCTGCTTGCTTTGCCTCCTTTAGAAATCAAGGGAGAATTCCCACTCCACTTTGGGGATGACACCACGTGTGGAAATCCCAATTTCTCCCTCAGAACAATGTGGAAATGCAATTTCTCCCTCAGAAAAACATGGGAATTCATATTTCTCCCAAAGGACAATGTGGAAAATCATATTCCCCCCTCAGAACAAGGTGGAAATTCATATTCCTCCCTCAGAGCAAGGTAGAAATTCATATTTCTCCTTCAGAATAAGGTGGAAATGCAATTCCTCCCTCAGAACAAGGTGGAAATGCAAATTTCTCCCACAGAACAATGTGGAAATCCACACCTCCCTCAGAAAAATGTAGAAATGCAATTTCTCCCTCAGAACAATGTGGAAATGCATGTTTCTCCTTCAGAAAAATGTGGAAATGCAATTTCTCCCACAGAACAAGGTGGAAATTCATATTTTTCCCTGAGAAAAATGTGGAAACACAATTTCTCCCTAAGAAAAACATGGAAATGCAATTCCTCCCACAGAACAAGGTGGAAATTCATATTCCTCCCTCAGAACAAGGTGAAAATCCAATTTCTCCTTCAAAACAATGTGGAAATTCCTATTTCTCCCTCAAAACAATGTGGAAATGCAATTTCTCCCTCAGAAAAGCATGGAAATGAATATTTCACCCTCAGAACAAGGTGGAAATGCAATTTCTCCCTCAGAACAAGGTGGAAATGCAATTTTTCCCTCAGAACAAGGTGGAAATCCACACTTCTCCCTCAGAAAAATGTGGAAATGCTCACAATTCCACATGTTTGTATTAACACCAGTTATTTTACAAGTGAGAAAGGAATTCCAGAGTATTCCAGCTGCTGAGAGGCTCCAGGAGTGGTTTTATTCCCAGACCAAAGGCAGAGCAATTCCCTCAGACAGCACCAAGCCTCAATTACTGAACAATTAAAAAAAAAAAAAAAAAACCAATTTTTTTTAATGTTTTCTACTTCAAACCAAATTTTAGCCACTTCCATTTAGCCTTGTCCATTCCAACTCCTCCTCCTTCTCATAATTTTGCAGAAAATAAAGCTACATTTAAGAAGGACAAGTCTCAGTTTTAAAGTTCTTAGTGTCCATGCAAGGAGCAAGACAAAAAAAAATCCTTAAATCAGGGATTTGACCCAAAAGTGATGTATCAGCTTAAATCCTTAAATCCTCTGGCTCACAGAACTCCTTGTTTCAATTTTATTCCTCAGTTTTGTAGGAAAAATCAAGCAAGAATGGATTATTCCACAGGAAAACCAGCACCCTGTGTTTGCTCCAAGCTTCCTCAGGTGTTTACAGCAGCTGGAGTTATTGATATTTTTATTTATTTATTTTAGAAGCAGCAGGGAAATAAACATCAAAAAAAAACCACTTTTCAAACCAATTTCACAACTGCTCCGGGCTGGGTAGAGAGTGCTGTTGTTTTTGGAGAGGTTCAGCCCAAATGAGCCCAAACCAAGATGTTTTCCTGGAAAACCATGAATGGTGAAAAGAAAAGGTGGCATTTGAGGCAGGCCCAGGATTTGCTGTTTGTAAAATCAGTAATTCCACCCCAGCCAGGTTTGCAGCTGGTGGGAACAAGCCTGGATTTGTTAAATTTGGAATTTTTGGAGCAGGAAGGATCCAGGATCTGAGGAGGAGAAGGTCACAGCTCCTGCAGCTGGTGTACACCAATATTTTGGTTTTTCACATCAAAGTGCCCCATTTAACAGGGCACAGGAAAGGTACCCACTGTTCCTGCTCAGAATTATTAAATTTATTAATTATTAATGGTGCTCAAGTCCTATTAATGCCCTGAAAGGTGTTTTGTACACCAAATGTTATGAACATGTCCTGGTATTGGCTGATTTATTCCCTTTTGAGCCTATTAGTGGAAGACAGAACAGTTCTCACAATAAAAATATCAGAACAAACCTTTTTTTTTTTTTTTGTTTTTGCAGAGAAATCCTCCAGCAGCAAAAGGACAGAGAGTTCCTGGGAATGAGGATTTCCTTCAGCTCAGGGTCAGCATCTCCCCTGTTCTCTCCCTCTGATGTCAAAAAACCCCAAAACAAAACCAAATAAACAAACAAAAAAAATAAACCCAAAGCAAACAAAACCCCCACAAACAACAACCAAAAAAACCCCAATAGAAATAAACCACACACACCAAAAAAAAACCCCCAAAACCTGCTCTAAAAAACCATGTTTTAGGAACACCAGGCAATACAAGAGGAAGATTATTTCTCTTTATTTCTCTTTTTGTTGTTCCATTGTGTGCAGCAGTATCATAAATCTCCTGCTTCAATCCTAAAAATCTCCCGTCATTTCCAACTCCTCATCATGGAGCACCCAGCAATTTTCTAGTTATATAAAATACTGGAAATTGATGCAGGTTTTTAGGAAAAAGCTGCAGGAATCAGTTTTTTCCCATTTTTCCCCTTTCCATATACAATCAGGCCTGATTTTCAGCTGGAATCTATTTTTTAAGTTCAACTGGATTTATTGGTGGCTGAAATAACTTTTATTTTATGTCCAGAAGCCTGTAAAAAACCTCAAGAATCCATGCTGATGTCACTGAAAACCACATTTTTCTAGAGAAGACTTAAAAATTTATTTAGTTCTTACTGTGGTAAGAATCATTGCTCTCCAAGTTAAGGGGACAACCAAAATCCTGTTCACATTAAATAGAAATTGTAATTTTTGAGCTTTCCAAAGTGGGGCAACACCCTCCACATTGGCAATGGGATTTGGTTCACAAAATTCAGAATTCAGAACAACAAATTCAGAATTTTCTTCCCTTCCAAGTCAGCTGATTTCCTATTTTAGAGCCAACTCATTCCAGCCAAACCTGATCAGAGAGAAAATTCCTGAATTTCTTCTGCTCAGCTGAGCTGTGCCTGCATAGAATCCAAGAATTGGGGAAAAATGAGAGACATTGGATTTATATTCCAATTTTGAGACCTTTCCAGCCCAATGAGTGACATAAAAAAATCTCCCCATTTATCTCCAAGCTCTGTAATGAACACCAGGAATTTGTCTGGTTTTCAACCATTTCCTCTCAAAAAACAGAACAGAAAAATAATGGAAATTTTCAGTATTTGGGGAATTTTAAATCAAACCTTTGCTGTTTGCAGCTTTATTTTGTTACCACAGCTACATATGCACACGAAGCTTGGTTAAGTGAGCAAAGTCAGATATTTTGGAGAGGAAAAACTCAGATATTTATTTGGAGGAAGCTCCTAATAAAGCTTTGTGGGCATATCCTGGCCTCATGCTCCCTCTACAGAAAATCAGGGGCATTTTCCATCTCTCTGGATGTTCAGTAAAGTGAATTTTAAATTCCATCCTGTGCTCAAAAACACTGAAAGAAGCTGACACAGCCCTGGGGATGTAAAACCTGATTAATTCCTTGTAAAACAGAGGTTTTTCCACGAGGAAAAAACAAATCCTGAGAGACTGGAGATATTGGGAAGGAATTCTTGCCTGTGAGGAGTGGGAAGGCCCAGAGAAGCTGTGGCTTTTTGATTTCCACTGATTATTTTCCTCCCTTTCAGTTTAATCTCTCCCAGCAGAAAAAAAACTGAATTATTTTCAAGGAATTTCCCAGCTCATTCTTTTCCCCTTCAGCCCTTTGCCAAAAGTTAAATCAAACTAAACCACCCAGAAGTGCCTCAAACCCCCCAAAAAAGCAGAACCCAAAGCAGACCCCAGATAAGAATCCTTTGTCAGGGTTTATTTTAAACATCTGTATTTTTCACAGCTTTCACAACTCTCTTCAACCATGCAAAAGCAGCTGATTGTATCAGGCTTGTCTCAGGCACAAAAGTTTTTGTGGTTAATAAATAATTAGCTCTGAGCTTCTACTTTGACCAATATCTGGATGTTTTACATGACAGGGGTCAGTCAAAAGACAAAAAAATAACCATTTTTTATTAGCACAAAATAGAACACAAAGAGAAAAATGTGCCTTTTGAGGATGCTCACAATATGCCCAAAGCTCCACATAAGAGACACCAAAAGCTCCTGCAGGTCAATTCCATGGAATTCTGATCCAATTTCCCACTTAGGAAAACCCCAACATTTCTGCAGTAAGGCTGTGAAAAAATGCAATTTAGAAAAGAACTTTTCCAAAGTTTTGTGCCTTATAAACAACAGGAAATTCTTTCACTGATCCCTTCTCCTACACCTGATTTTTCTTAGGTTCATCCCAAAGAGGGACCCCAAAAATTCAGCAAAAAGAGCTCACACCTCTCCTTTGGGGAGGAAAAGTTTCTCCTTGGAAAACTCCTTCCTACAATTTCCATCACAATCAGAAAAAGGTTACATGCCATCAACATACTTAAATATTTTGGTTTTAATTACAATTGCAGGTTAACATTTGTGACAGGTGAGGTTTTTTTTTATCGCTTGGAACTCCTCAGGTAGATCTTGGGGGTTTGCCAGCCTGCAGGAGCACTTTTCAAGCCAGCTTTCTTCCAGATGCGCTCCAAATCTTTCTCAAATTTGATCTAAAACAGGGAAAAAGAAAAGAAAAGAAAAATAGTAACACAGCTTAGAAGTAACAGCCACTGCCCATGTGTCTCAAGGGCAGTGTAGGTGTAACACACACAAAGGAAACAAAGGTTTTAAATGTCAAAATATTGAATTTTACTGCAGAAAATTCATCAGAAGACATTAAAATGCACAGGGATTTTGGCAGTATCGTTTTTAAAGTCCTGTGCAAGGAAAACTGAGAAGGTAAAACCAAATTTTAGCCACCTCCATTCAGCCTTGTCAAGGTGCTACTGTCCATTCCAACTCCTCCTTCTTCCCATTATTTTGCAGAAAATAAAGTTACATTCAAAGGGGACAAGGCTCAGTTTTAGAGTTCTTAGTGTCCATGCAAGGAGCAAGACAAAAAAATCCCTAAATCAAGGATTTGACCCAAAAGGTGGTTTTCTTAAATTCTCTGACTCACAGAACTCCTTTGTTTTTTGTTTTGTTTTGTAGGCAAAGTCAAGCAAGACAAGCTTGACTTTAAAATAAAGCTACATTCAAGAGGGACAGGTCTCAGTTTTAGTGCCCATGCAAGGAGCAAGACAAAAAAAATCCCTTAATCAGGGATTTGACCCAAAAAGTGATGTATCAGCTGGTTTTCTTCAATTCTCTGACTCACAGAACTCCTTCTTTCAAGTTTATTCCTCAGTTTTATCAAGCAAGACAAGCTGAGTTCATTCAAGCTCATTTTTCCCTAAAACCATCACCTAACACCTAGAGAGAGGCTGGTTTGATGTGTGGACACATTTCTGTCAGGGAGCTCCC